CACTGTGCCTGGTGTATATTCTTTTTCTGATTTTTTTTTTTTTTTGAGACAGAGCCTCAAGCTGTTGCCCTGGGTAGAGTGCTGTGGCATCTCAGCTCACAGCAACCTCCAACTCCTGGGCTTAAGCAATTCTCTTGCCTCAACCTCCCAAATAGCTGGGACTACAATGCCTGGCTATTATTTTTGGTTGTTGTCATTGTTGTTTGGCAGGCCCAGGCTGGATTTGAACCTGCCAGCTCTGGTGTATGTGGCTGGTGCCTTAGCTGCTTGAGCTACAAGCACCGACCTTTTTTTTTTTGAGACAGTCTCACTTTGTTGTCCCTGGTAGAGTGCTGTGCTGTCATAGCTCACAGCAACCTCAGATTCTTGGGCTCAAGCGATTCTCTTCCCTCAGTCTCCTGAGTAGGTCGGACTACAGGCACCTGGCATTTTAGAGATGGGGTCTTGCTCTAGCTCATGCTGGTCTTGAACTTGTGAGCTTAGGCAATCCACCCACCTTGGACTTACAGAGTGCTGGGATTACAGGCGTAAGTCACCTTGCCCGGCCGTTCCACTGTTTTTTTGGATCAACATAATTTAAGTGTGCCCTGAGATAAAAATGTTGAGAAACAGTGGTCTAAAGGCAGTAGCTCAGCTTCATCTTATTGTTAGAATCAGGGCCCCAAACTGTCAAGTCTCCAGATTTTTCTTTTTCTTTTTTTTTTTTTGAGACAGAGTCTTACTATGTCACCCTCGGTAGAGTTCTGTGGTGTCACAGCTCACAGCAACCTCAAACTCTTGGGCTTAAGTGATTCTTTTGCCTCAGCCTCCCAAGTAGCTGGGACTACAGGTGCTCACCACAATGCCTGGCTATTTTTTTGTTGCAGTTGTTTAGCAGGCCTGGGCCGGGTTTGAACCCTCCACTCTCGGTATATGTGGCTGGCACCATAATCACTGTACTATGGGCACCAAGCCAAATCTTCAGATTCTTCTTTTTTCTTTCTTTTTTTTTTCTTTTGAGTCAAAGTCTCACTATATTGCCTTGGGTAGAGTACTGTGCCATCACTGCTCATAGCAACCTCCAGCTCCTGGGCTTAAGTGATTCTCTTGCCTCAGCCTCCCAAGTAGTTGGGACTATAGGCACCTGCACAAAGTCCGGCTATTTTTTGGTTGTAGTTGTTTAGCAGGCCTGGGGTTGGATTTGAACCCCCCAGCTCAGGTGTATGTGGCTGGCACCTTAGCCGCTTGAGCTGCAGGTGCCAAGATAATCTTCAGATTTTTCAAGGGAAGGTAGAAATCTGTTTTTTAAATGTGCAAGCTCCCATTTTAAGGGTGAGGTAACTTATTTTTTAAAAAGTGTTGGCTGGGGGCAGTGCCTGTGGCTCAAAGGAGTAGGGCGCTGGCCTGATATGCCAGAGGTGGTGGGTTCAAGCACAGCCTTGGCCAAAAAAAAAAAAAAAATTCCACCTAAATCTAGCAGATAAAATTTTATAATTGTTTGAAGTTATTTTAGTCCTTAGTTTAAGATTATTTTTTAAAAAGTGTTGGCTGGGGGCAGTGCCTGTGGCTCAAAGGAGTAGGGCGCTGGCCTGATATGCCAGAGGTGGTGGGTTCAAGCACAG